GGTGACTAAAGAAAGGGGAAGGACCAGAAGTGGGAAATGGGGGGGAAGAGGGGAGATGATCATTTTTGGTTCTTTATGAAGCTACGAATTATTACATGGAACGTTCGTGGTCTAAATGATCCGGATAAAAGAAGGGTGGTCAAGATTGTGCTCATGTTATATGCTTGCAAGAAACCAAGATGGCCGCTATTTCTGATGAGGTGGTAAGGAGTCTTTGGGGAGGAAGGTTTGTAGAATGGGAAGCTTTAAACGCCTCCGGCACATCGGGCGGAATTCTAATTATGTGGGATTGAAGATGGTTGTCCAGAACGAATATTTGGAAAAGGGCATTATTCTTTGTCATGTGTATTTCAGATGGAGGATGATAATTTTAATTGGGTTTTTTTTGGAGTTTATGGACCTGTTGTTGATAGTGATTGACCAGTCTTTTGGGAAGAGCTCAGCTATGTTAAGGAATTGTGGTCGTTGCCTTGGTGTTTAGGCGGGGACTTTAATTCTTTTAGGTCTCCAATCGAGAGATCCACCGGGGGTAAGTGGTCTTTGGAGATGACCCAGTTCTCCGATTTTATTGATGGCCACTTCCTTATTGATCTGCCATTGGAAGGAGCAGTCTTTACTTGGTCTAATGGCAGAGATCCAGTCACTTTTTCAAGGTTGGATCGGTTCCTGGTTTCTGGGGATTGGGAAGAGAAGTTTCCGGATGTTATTCAGGCGGCTTTGGTTAGGGTAACGTCCGACTATGTGCCCTTAGTTCTCGATTGTGGAGGGATGAGATCTAGACGCACGCCTTTCCGCTTTGAAAATATGTGGTTAAGATCTGAGGATTTTCAAGGGAAAGTCCAGTCTTGGTTGGGGGAGGCATCTTTCACAGGTTCTGCTAGCTATGTCTTAGCTAGGAAGTTTCAGGTTCTCAAATTTGAGCTTAAGAAGTGGAACAAAGAGGTCTTTGAGAATCTTGAATGGACGAAGAATAGAGTTTTAGCTGATATTGCCGAACTTGATCGTCTTGACGAGTTGGGGTAGGATGTGGAGTCTTTACGCTCTAGAAGGGTCTTGTCAGGCGATTTTTGCGGAGATTGCTGTTATGGAGGAGATTTCGTGGCTTCAGAAATCTAGGGCATTGTGGCTTAAAGAAGGTGACTGCAATACAAAATTCTTTCACAAGCTTGCTAATGCTTATAGAAGATGTAATCACATTGGGTGTATCCGTGTGAATGGTACAGAGTTGTGGAGAGAAGGTGAGGTGCGTGGGGAATTGTTTCTTTTTATTAGTAGCTTTACACTGAGTCCTTGGGATGGAGACCTAAACTTGATAGTCTGCATTTTAATTCTATTTCTACGCTGGATAATGGCATGCTTGAGGTTCCTTTCATTAAAGAGGAAGTTCTTAAGGCATTATCAAGTTGTAATGGGGATAAAGCTCCAGGCCAGATGGATTTACTATATGGTTTCTTAAGGAGAGCTGGGAGGTGGTGCGCAGTGAGGTGATGGGCACCTTTCAGGATTTTCATTCTCATGGCACTTTTGAGAAATCATTGAATGAATCTTTTATTGCCCTTATTCCTAAGAAAGGCGATGCCTCTGATATTAAGGACTTTAGGTCAATCAGCTTAGTGGGATGCATGTATAAGCTTTTTGCCAAAGTTCACGTTCTTAGAATGCGGAATGTACTGGACGGAATTATTTCAGAGTCACAACATGCTTTTGTTGGGGGACGGCAGATCTTGGATTCCGTTCTTATTATAGGGGAATTTGTTGACTATAGGTTGAAGAGTGGTGTTCCTGGCGTCTTATGCAAACTTGATATTGAGAAAGCCTATGATCACGTTAATTGGAAGTTTCTTCTTTACTTGCTCCAGAGGATGGGGTTCGGAGATAGGTGGATTAAATGGATTGAAACTTGTATCTTGTTCGTTATGTTCTCGGTGCTTGTGAATAGATCTCCTGCTGGTTTTTTTGTGAGTTCGCGCGGTTTGAGACAAGGAGACCCCCTTTCGCCTTTCTTATTCCTTATTGTCATGGAGGGATTGAGCAGATTAATGAAAAGAGCTGAGGATCTGGGTTTTATCAGGGGTTCAGAGTTGGTAGAGAAGCTACTAATCAGATAGAGATTTCCCATTTGTTGTTCGCAGACGATACCTTGCTTTTTTGTGATGGTGATGTCTCCCAACTTAGATACTTAAGGTGCATACTTGCTTGTTTCCAAGTGGTGTTCGGACTTAAAATTAATGTTAGAAAGAGTGTGCTTGTCCCAGTGGGGATGTTCCAGATATTTTCTCCTTAGCTGCAGTTCTTGGGTGTGGAGTGGGCGCTTTTCCACTTCCTTATTTAGGACTGCCTTTGGGAGTTTCCTCCAAGAGAGTGGAGAGTTGGGATCCGGTGATCAAAAGGTATGAAAAGAGACTGGCAGGATGGAAAAAACAGTATCTCTCAAAGGGGGGGAAGGTCACTCTTATTGAGAGTACCCTCTCGTCCCTTCCCACTTATTTTTTATCTCTGTTTCAAATTCCATGCTCTGTTGCTGAACGGATCGAAAAAATTCAGCATGACTTTCTTTGGGGTGGAAGAGGAAAGGAGTTCAAGTATTATCTTGTCAATTGGGAGCAAGTTTGCAAACCTTTAAAATTAGGTAGTTTAGGCATTCGGAAATTGGTCCCTTTCAATAGAGCTTTGTTGGGTAAGTGGCTATGGAGGTTCGGTAAAGAGCGTCATCGTGTCGATTTGGGGAGGAGAGTGGGGGGTGGTCCTCTCGTCCTGTTTTCGTCACGGGAGGCGTTGGCATGTGGAAATTCATTCGGAAGGGTTGGGATATGTTTTCCACCCACATTAGATTCAAAGTTCGCAATGGTAGGCACGTTCATTTTTGGGAGGACTTGTGGTGTGGTGATCAGCTGTTGTCTCTTCCTTTCCTCGCCTCTTCAGTATTGCCGAAAACAAGCATGCTTACGTAGTTGATTGTTATCATCTTGATAGCAGTGGGTTTACGTGGGATGTGTGTTTTAGGCGCTCTTTTCAGGATTGGGAGATGACAGAAGTGTGCGCTTTTTTGGATTTGTTGTATAGATAGAAGGATGTTGGCAGAGGTTATGATGATATTCTGTGGGTCCCTTTCTCTCATGGTAAATATGGAGTATGATCCATGTTCTTGTGTTTGTCCAACTTCGCTAGCCAAGATTTCCCATGGAAGTCTATTTGGCGCTCTAAAGCTCCTCTTAGAGTTGCATTTTTTGTTTGGACTGCCACCTGGGGAAAGATTTTGACATTGGATAATTTGAGAAAGGGAGGTAATACCATTGTTAACTGGTGTTGCTTATGCAAAACAGAAGGTGAGTCCGTGGATCACATTCTTATGCATTGTCCTGTGGCATATGATTGTTGGAATCTTATCTTAAGTATTTTTGGTGTTCAGTGGGTGATGCCTAAGCACTCTATTCAATTAATCAACGCATGGAGAAGATGCCCAGTTAAAGGTCATGCGCGTGATTTTTGGAGGATTGTCTCACACTGTGTTTGGCGATGTATCTAGAGAGAGAAATAACAGAAATTTTAAAGGGAAACAATTGACTATTGCTAATTTAAAATCTCATATTCTTCGTTCTCTTTTCTGTTATGTAAAAGGAAGCGCTTGCTCCTCGATTGCTGATTTTTTTGACCTTTTGGACTCTATTGGTTCTTAGGGTTTTCGTTCTCGTGTATTAGGGACGCGTTCCCCTTTTGAACGCTTTTCTAATATATTTTACTTATCAAAAAAAAAAAAAAAAAATACTCTCTCAATACATATACAATACAATGGTGGAGGCTTCTTTATATAGAAGAATAAATTATGAGAATGGAAAGAGATAGAAAATAGGAAACAAGGAGGATTTTTCTCCACTGATTCCACTATAACACCAAATCTTCAATAATAGGAAATAACATCAATTACTGAAAGATTTTCCTCTACTGATTTCTTTATTTAAATCTTCAATAAACTGGTCTTTATATCTCTCAATTGTTCCATCTGGATGTTACTTTATTGTGTAGACCCATTTGTAGCCTACTGGTTTCTTATCCCTAGGTAATGGAACAATATCTCAAGTACCATTCTTCTTAAGGGCCTTCATCTCTTCAAGCATATCTTCCTTCCGTGGAGTTTGACTGAGAGCATCTGAAACACTAGAAGGAATAGATACAGAGGATATACACGAAGTGAAAGCACGATATGTTGGAGATAAGGCATCATAGGATACAAACTGAGATATTGGATGTTTTGTACAACTACGAACACCCTTACGATAGGCAATAGGGACATCAAGATCAACAAGAATGCTATTAGGAAAAGAATTAGGAGTATCAATGTCAACTGAGGAATTACCTTGAGCGAGGGAGACTTCTTGGTCTTGGGGTGAGTCAATGACTTGTTTTGCCCTCCTAGTGTAGACAATTGGCTGTTTTCCCTGTTGCAAATCATTAGTGTTAGGAGGACTAGACATAGGCACCTTAGTAAGAAGCTCCCCTTGAATGGGAGCAGGCAAAGGAAGGGGGTATTCCCTCTGAATGGACGACATATTCTCTACCTCTATAGTAGTCTCCCTTTGCTGCAAACCATTTGTGTTAGGAGGACTAGCCATAGGCACCTCAGTAAGAAGCTCCCCCTGAATGGGAACAGGCAAAGGAAGGGGGCATTCCCTCTAAATGGATGACATATTCTCTACTTGTATAATAGTCCCCCTCCTGTGCAAAATCCCGAGTAGTGAAAAAAAAGGAGCATGTTCAAAGAATGTAACATTCATGGAGACAAAGCGACGACGAGTGATAAGGTTATAACACCGATACCCTTTCTGAATGGCAGAGTATCCAAGAAGACAGAGAAGGGGATTGCCTTAGGGTCCATTTTGTCCTTGTGATGATGAATGTGAACATAACAAACACAACCAAACAATTTCGGAGGGCCAATAAACAAGGCAGTGTGATGGTGTAAGACGGAGAAGGGGGATTGATAGCGAAGAACCTTAGAAGGCATGCGATTGATAAGGTATGTAGCTGTTAAGGTTGCATCAACTAATAACTTTTATGCACTCCCATCCCAATTAGAAGAGAACGGGTATAAGGTATGTAACTGTTAAGATTGCATCAACCCAATAACTTTTATGCACTCCCATCCCAATTAGAAGAGAACGGGTCACCTCCGTAATATGCCGTTGTTTTCTTTCAGCTACACTGTTCTGTTGTGGTGTATCGATGCAGGAGATTTGATGGACAATCCCATTATGAGCAAAAAAGGAGGTAAGACCACCATACATAAACTCTCCTCCATTATCAGATCGAAGGATTTTGAAGGGACAACCAAACCGAGTACATATCATCTTATGAAAGGTTTTAAAAATGGAATGAACTTCACATTTGGTTTTCATAAAGATAAAGTGAAGTTTTTGGTCAAACGGTAGGGACCAGTCACTTTTTCAAGGTTGGATCGATTTTTGATTTCCGGGGAGTGGGAAAAGAAATTCCCGGATGCTGTTTAGGCAGTTTTAGCAAGGGTCACTTCTGATCATGTTCCTTTGGTGTTGGATTGCGGGGGTTTGTGTTCTCGCAGATCCCCGTTTCGGTTTGAGAACATGTGGCTGAGAGCGGAGGATTTCCAAGGGAAAGTTCGGTCTTGGTGGGAGGGAGTTTCAGTTACAGGTTCGCCTAGCTTCATGTTAACAAAGAAGTTAAGATCTCTCAAATTCGATCTTAAGAAGTGGAATAAGGATATTTTTGGGAATCTTGAATGGAGGAAGAATAGAGCCCTTGTCGAATTCTCTGAGATTGATCGTCTTGAAGAGGCGGGTGGGGATGTGGAGGAACTTCGTTCTAAGAAAGCCTCCCGTCAGGCAGCTTTTGCTGAGATTGCTAGTATGGAGGAGATTTTGTGGAGACAAAAATCCCGGGCTCTTTGGCTAAAAGAGGGAGATCGTAACACAAATTTTTTTCACAGGCTCGCTAATGCTCACAGAAGGAGTAATCATATAGGACGTATTCGGGTGGAAGGTGTGGAGCTGTGGAGGGAGGAAGAATTGCACAATGTGATCGTTTCCTTTTATCAGAAGCTTTACTTAAAACCGTTAGCATGGAGACCTAAACTTGATGGTCTCCACTTTAAGGCTATATCTGAATTGGATAGAGATGGGCTTGAGATTCCTTTTACTGAGGATGAAGTTCTATAGGCTTTATCAAGTTGTAATGGGGACAAAGTTCCGGGGCCTGATGGGTTTACTATGCGGTTTCTTATAGAAAGTTAGGCAGTTGTGAGAAATGAGGTGATGGGTACATTTCAGGAGTTTCATTCTACTGGCTTTGAGAAGTCACTAAATGCGTCATTCATTGCCCTTATCCCTAAGAAGGGAGGCGCTTCAGACATTAAAGACTTTAGACCAATTAGCCTAATGGGTTGTATTTACAAACTCCTGGCTAAGGTTCTTGCCCTTAGGATGAGGAAAGTAATGGATGGGATTATCTCGGATTCCCAGAGTTCTTTTGTTGGAGGAAGGCAAATTTTAGATTCAGTTCTTATTGTAAGCGAATGTGTGGAATCCAGATTGTGTACTGGGGTTCCCGGAGTCCTATGCAAACTTGACATTGAGAAAGCATATGATCATGTGAATTGGAATTTCCTTCTTTACTTGCTACAGAGAATAGGGTTTAGAAGCCGTTGGAGGAATTGGATTGAGACTTGTCTTTCGTCTGTCAAGTTCTCTGATCTTGTGAACGGATCTCCTGTTGGTTTCTTTGGGTGCACTCGAGGTTTAAGACAGAGATCCTTTGTCGTCTTTCCTTTTTCTAATTGTTATGGAGGGCTTGAGCAGACTTATGCGAAGGGCAGAGGATCTTTGTCTTATTAAGGGCCTTAGAGTGGGAAGAGATGTAGTCCATCAGGTGAAGATTTCTCATCTTCTTTTCACGGATGACACCTTAGTTTTTCCAGTGATGCTGATGTGTCGCAACTTAGATATTTGAGGTGTATCTTGGCATGTTTCCAGGCAGTTTCTGGGTTGAAGGTCAACGTGGCTAAGAGTGTGCTTGTCCCGGTAGGGGATGTTCAGGATATTTCCTCTTTAGCTGCAGTCCTTGGATGTATGGTTAGTTCTTTCCCCATTCCTTATTTGGGTTTGCCCATAGGGGTTTAGGAGAGTGGGGAGTTGGGACCCTATGATTGATAGGTATGCGAAGAGATTGACAGGGTGCAAGAAGCAATACTTGTATAAGGGGGGTAAAGTTACTCTTATTAAGAGCAAGTTATCGAGCCTTCCCACATATTTTTTTTATTTATGTTCCAAATTCTATGCTCCGTTGCTGATAGGATCGAAAAAATTCAAAGGGATTTCCTTTGGGACGGGAGGGGCGAAGAGTTCAAGTATCACCTTATCAGATGGAAGCAAGTTTGCAAGCCCATGAAGTTGGGTGGTCTTGGTATTAGAAGGTTGGTTCCTTTTAATCAAGCTCTTTTGGGTAAATGGTTGTGGAGATATGGGAGAGAAAGACATCGCCCTTGGCAAAGGTTAGTTTCATGTCGGTATGGAGAAGAGAGTGGTGGCTGGTCTACCGGTCCGGTTCATCTTGCGGGAGGATTCGGGGTGTGGAAATCCATCTAGAAGGGATGGGATGTTTTCTTTACTCATATCAGGTTCAAAGTTCGTGATGGTAGATGCGTTCGTTTCTGGGAGGATCTTTGGTGTGGTGACCAACAATTATCTCGTACTTTTCCCAGATTATACAGTATTGCAGTTGATAGACACGCCTATGTAGTTGACTGTTATTGGCTTGATAGTAGTGGGATTACATGGGATGTGCGCTTTAGGTGTTCCTTTCAGGATTGGGAGGTGGATGAGGTGTGTGTTCTTCTAGATTTGCTGTATAGGCAGGAGGCAATTAGCAGAGGCAGTGACGATCTAATATGGATTCCCTCTTCCCATGGTCGTTTCGTAGTGCGATCTTTGTTCTTATGTTTATCTAACTTTGTTAGTCTTGACTTCCCATGGAAGACCATTTGACGTTCTATGGCTCTAACTAGGGTGTCATTCTTTGTTTGGACTACTATATGAGGTAAGATACTGACGATTGATATTTTGAGGAAGCAGGGTAACTGTTTTGTTAATTGGTGTTGTCTATGCAAGCAAGATGGTGAGTTAGTTGATCATATCCTCATGCATTGTATTGTTGGAATCTTATTCTTGGGTTGTTTGGTATGCGTTGCGTAATGCCACGTTCTTCTAAGGATTTGATTCAAGCTTGGAGAAGATGTCGTGTGAGTAGAGGTGTACGCGATTATTGGAGAATTGTCCCACATTACGTTTGGTAGTGCATCTGGAAGGAGAGGAATAGTAGAATGTGTGAAGGAAAGGAATCGTCCACGGCGATGCTAAAACTCTATATTATTCGTTCTCTTTTCAGTTACATGAAGAGGAGCTCTTGTTCCTCTTCCGATAATTTAATTATTTTTTGGATTCTTTGGGGCCTTAGTTCCCGGTTCCACTTCTGTATAAGGGATGCGTTCCCCTCTTGAGCGCCTTTCTATGAAATTTTTACTTATTAAAAAAATATATATACTTTAGTTGATATACTTCACATTATCTTTTTTTTTTTTTTTTTTGGATAAGTAATAATGAAATAAAAAGGCGCTCAAGAGGGGAACGCTCCCAAAGGAATACACAAAACGCAAAAGGCGACAACTAAAGCTTTAAACTATCCACAAAATCCAAAAGATCCCCCAAAGATTTACAATTCCGCCTGTTAACCCAAAATAATAAAGTATGCAATAAAGTGTATTTGAGAGACCAAATAGGAGTCTCCTTGCCCTCAAAATGTATCTTATTTCTCTTGTGCCACAAACCCCACCAAAGACAAAGGGGAGTGGCCCTTCAAGCAACCTTGGCTTGGCTCTCCACAAGACACCCTTTCCAAGCCTCAATCAAATCTACCGTGGTTTTGGGGAACACCCAAAACATGCCAAAAGCAACCAAAAACATAGACCAAACATCCCTTGCCACCGGCAGTGAATAAGGAGATGATTCACTGATTCCTTTTGTCTTTTTGCACATACAACACCAATTAACCACGATTTGTCGTCTCCTTCTAAGATTGTCTAGGGTGCGTAGGCTACACACCAAGCAAATAAGGCCACCTTCAAAGGAGCTATCGATCTCTAAATTGCTTTCCGAGGGAAGGAAAAACCTGGGATCACCGACAACAAATGATAGAACGCCCTGACCTTGAACAGTCCCCTCGGTGAGCCCACCCATACCATCTCATCCATCCCTGCACTCCCCTCAAGCTTAATGTATATTGGTGTAGACATAGCCTTCATTCTACTCTCCTCAGCGTGGATATACAAAAACATATCTCTAACAGAAGTAGGGGCTGGATACCCGCCGAACATACCCTGGCATGCTCGTATCTTGGATACAGACCACCCAAGAACTCATAGATTCGATTCCTTTCTACCATAGCACAAAATGCTTTAACATCAGCTGTGCACACAAGTATGCAGTGTTGGTAGTGTTCTAACTCTTCCCTTTTACCACGTAAAGTGTGGTAATATGTAGCTATAGTTTGGTCTTCTTGCTTGAATCTTGAAATCTTTTGTTGGAGTTCATACAATTTTGCAAAATTACCAACCGAGGAATATGTCTCTTCCATAACCTTCCATAGCTCTTTAGCTGTTTTCATAAATAGAAACCCTTTGCTGATATGTGGCTGCATTGACTGCAACAACCACATTATAACTAGTGCATTATTTGCACTCCACCCTTAGAATTCAGGATCACTCTTGGAGGGATACATGACAGTCCCTTCGATATGTTTGATCATCCTATGACCAGTGATATGAATACGAGCAGATTGAGCCCACTCCATATAGTTCGTTTCTTCCAACCTAACAGTCGTAATACAAAGGCCTGGATGGTGATCACTACTACCTCCCAAGTCAGACTATGAGAAGACCCAGCTTCTTTTGAAGTCACATCTGAGCCAGACATTTTATGAAACAGTTTTTTGGTATATAATCCTCAGGAAAAAAAATAGCAACAAAATATGTTGAGAATCACCTCTATAACACACAAACAACTGCAACTAGAAAGATTACTGTCTTCTGAGATGCATAACAAAGCGACCACAAAGTCCACAAACCCTAGAAAGCAACAAAGTAGACCATGGCAGAATTGGGAACGACGAAGAAAAAGCCGTTGTTGCAGAACCATGCGAATACGAAAAAAACACCGATTGAGAATGCAATCGATCAAAAACAGGTCTGAGCAATAATAAGATGTTTACGAAGGTAAATCAATTCTAGTGGCGCACTGCCCTCGCTACCCCCAGCCAACTCAGCGCGGAGTTGGATCCGCGGTACGTGTGGATGTGATTAACACTACTTCCTTGCAAACAAATCCCATCTTGGAATCTCTTCAAAACCCTTCACACCCACTAGGGTTTACACAAACTTGCCCTAGGGTTTCAACTACACACGTAGAACTTTACAAACCATGCTCTGATACCATGTTGTGTTGGCGAGTAGATTTCCTCGTCTGTTTAGGATAGTTGTGGATAAACATGCTATGGTTGCAGATTATTATTGGCTTTATAATGGGAGAGTGACTTGGGATGTGATTTTCTGTAGAAACTTCAATGATTCGGAGCTGATGGAGATTACAGATTTAATGGGTTTATTGTATAGGCAAGTGGTGGTGTGGGAGGGCAGGGATGAGATGGTGTGGGTGTGAGGCTCCAGTGGGGTGTTTGAGGTGAGGTCGTTTTATCGAAGCCTTATGGAGTCAGTACGCATGGGTTTTCCTTGGAAAGCTATTTGGAGGACTTCAGCAGCAGTAAAGGTGGCTTTTTTCACATGGACGACGTCTCTTGGAAGCATCCTTACTCTTGATAATCTTAGGAGAAGATGTTATATTGCTATTAACTGGTGTTTTATGTGCAAGAAGGCGGGGGAATCTGTGAACGATCTTTTGTTGCATTGCCCAATTGCATCGGATATTTGCCCCATGTTCGTGGCTGTGTTTGGTGTAGATTGGGTTGTTTCAAGGGACACGATGGGGATGTTAGAGGCTTGGAGAGGGCGGCCAGTGGTCAGATGAGTTAGAGATGCGTGGAGGGTAACTCCGTTTTGTTTATGGTGGTGTCTATGGTGTGAGAGGAATAGGAGAGCGTTTGAAGGAGAAGA